CCCCCCCCCACCATACATTATGAACGCAGCCTAAGTTCCGAATTGTACTAGAAGATCATGGCTGCCGGAACCAGCTCCTAACGTACATTCTGCACAAGATAGGAAATGACCAAGAAATGTTCCAAATGTTGCTCCATTGATGTGATACACATGAAGTTCTCATTGTAATACCTCAGATCATATTTATGACTGGGGGAAGGGAGGGTGCAGCATATTTTTTTAAAGATTCCTTTATATTCTTCCCCCCCCTCCCCATGAAAAATCCTAATTTAAAATCTAAATTGTATAGAGTGTTTTCACTCATACAAACATTTCATTTCATACACTTTCTATCCTCCGGGAATTGAACTCTATTTCTAAAAATACTGTGCAGAAAGTTTCTATTGTTTATGGCTGCCTTCTCACGTGAGTGAAAATTGCCAAAAAACGAGAAACAATTCTCGTTAAAAAGCCTTCTCCATATTTAATATCTGAAGCCCTAAGTACTATGTTGAGTGGTAAGCGAAAGCTTGACAGCATGTCACGTTTCCCAGCTGTTTTGTGCTGACACAGATGTCTTCCTTCGTACTTACAAAAATCTTCACCATCATCGTCTATTCCTCTCATTCTCCTCTCGCATTTTTCTGGAAATAGTTTCTGGATAAGTTCCCATCGTTGCTGACATATTAGAGTACCATTTCGAGCTTGTTTACGAGCCCAGCTTGATATTCTAACGCGACATATTGGACATTGAAGGTTCGCTTCTTGGACATTTTGAGTGAAGCAAATCTTGCACAGTTCGTGTTTGCATGGCATTACAACGGGTTCAATAAGTAGCTGAAGACATATTGGACAGATAAAATCCTCGTACGAAGCATCTTCGACAACATCTGATGCATAGTTTTCGTACCGGATTCTTTTTCTCTTAGTTTTTGAGGGTAAAGACGGCTCATCACTTGCCTTTTCCGCCATTGTTCGGCCATTTTGCATAATTATGATTTTGGCGGGAAAATACGACGGCAAAGAAATAACAACTTCATCCCAATTAGGGAAGGGTGCGTAAAACATCCTCACAACCGATTTGGCAATTTCCTTGCCTAATTTTTAATTGTTTCTTTATAATAATTTATATTACAAGTCTTATCACACAAATAAGAATAACAGGATCCTCGAAATCGTAAAAAAAATGAAGATGTTTATGGCACATTTGAAGTCACTTGCCAAAAACACACCACAGGAATCCCACTCTAAGCATTTTGGATTTAACTTCCTTCAGACTGCGAAGTGTTGCTTCGATCCCTGTCTCTTTGGATTACCATCTTTCTATAAGGGAAAAATATAATTAAGAACTATCAAAACTAGGAAAAATAAAAGGAAATATTGACTTACAAAAAGTTATTAGCAGCTTGGAGTTCTTCTATTTTCTGCTCAGTTTGTGCCATCCATTGCTGATATTTCTCTCCAAACGAAAACTTGAGCTAAAATGATAGTGAATGCAATATTGATCACATTATTTTTTTTAAGCTATGGAACAGAGGAAACTACAGCAATAACCCTACCCCCTGTCTCCCAACACGACAACCACTCCCACCTGCTACCATCAAAAATAGGCACAGCAGAGCACTTTTTCAAGTGGGGGATGGGAGTTAATCTTTATTTTTCTTCATACGTGTGGGATCCCATTAAAAAAATTGCAGGTCAAAATTTGGCCAAATGTTTTCCCTATTTTGAGCCCTGAGCTCAAAGAAAGACAAAATAATATATCATTCTTGTTGGAGATGATGCTAAAGCCCCCTCAGCCCCTCCCCCTGGTTCTTCCATCCCTGAATACTAATTGCAATATAATACCAGTACCTCTACTTTTAGTTTTTCCTCTTTGGTACACCATTCAGCCTCCTTCCTACTCAATTGTTCACAAAGCTCATTGATACGCACGTTTTGTTCTGTGTTAAGAGCTTCTAGACTATCATTCTTCTCCTGGAGCGCTTTGCACTTTTTCCTTAACTCCAGCAACTCTTCAGAATCAGGCACAGCCTCCTGAATGTGGAACAAATTTGATCACAGACAAATAAACCACAGGGCATCCAATTGAGATTAAGCGATAGAGTGATAATATAATCAAGAATATATTATTTTCATTGAATGTTATCTTTGAGGACAACATAGTGTGCTAAATAATACAAAATAATAAGAAAATAAAGCAAAAATATAGAGTTCTGCTTTCATTTAATTGGGCTCCCTGTGTCATTACTGTTAAAGTTTTTTTTTGAAAGAATATTCATTTGAAAAATTTAAGTTTTTAAAAACATACTTTGCTTTGGGTTTTCGAGATTTCAAGTTCTTTCGCATGATCAATCTTCAGTTTTTCAATTTCATCCCTCAGCTCGGAAATCTCCTTATCTGCAGATCTCTTTGCTTGTTCGAGTTCTTGAGCTTTTTTAATACCAGGACTTTGTTCACTACTCTGGAGTCGTTGTCCAAGTTTAGGATTATCAAGGCTTACATACTCCTTATCTTTCTTTAATATTGTCTGGCTTTTCGCTTTCCTTAAATCATCCAGTCTTTTTTTCAGCTCTAAAACTTGATTCTCAAGCTTTAAATAAACGCACAAAAATACAAGATTCTTACATAACATCACACAAACAAGTGATTGTCATTACTTGTAAGCATCAAAACCACGGTCTGGAATGACACTTTTAAAAATGCATAGTGTACCTCTTTAATCCTTTCAATGTTGTAAACTTGACTCCTGCCTTTTCCAGTTGTTGCATTTGTTTTGCTGCTGGAGAGAGTTTTTTGTTGGCTAATGTCTTTACCACCTACTGACGACTTCCGCCGGGTACTGGTTGCCATGGTATCGATCAAAGTTCCTAACAACTGTAGGCTAGCTCATTTATCATATATATACACATACTTCTCTACGTTAATTCATGAATTCTTGCTAAATTTTAACAAACGTTAAGCATATAAAGTTACAACTCAGAAGGGATTTACTTCTGCTTCTGGATTACGAGACTTTTGTTACGTCATGAGACAGGCAACCCAAAACTAATGTTTCCAAAAATATTTTCACTTTTCCTAAATGGTCAAACAAACTTCGTTATCGTGGACATATTCCTACATTTGATTATATCAATTGGGGGAAAATAATGCTGCATGTGTTGATTAGATTTTTGAACGCAGAACTAATTGAACATCGAAGTGGCAAAAGGCGTGGTCTTCCTGTGGTTTTTGACGAGGCTGCTTGGTTCCCTGGCATGGTTCAGGATTAGAGTTTGAAGTTTTTTCGAATGTGTTCTTGATAAACTGGATCTTTTTATGCCAAAATGCCGTTAAGAATTGTTCGAGGTCTATTGAGAGGAGCGACGAGAGGAGTCCTTACAGGAAAGAAAGGAAATAAGCAATTTTACAAAGGTAGAATGACATTTCTTTAACTAAACATGGCCTTACAACTTGCTTAGATTCTAATCGTATGGCCATTTTAAACACAAGTGAGCTTGTGTTAAAGGTTATTTGTCCGTACTAATAAGTAATGTAGTAGCTAGTTGTTTTAACTTGAGGTTTTTCTAACAGATATTTTCAATAGCATATAACGTTCATAGCTCATTGCTGATATTTGACTGTATGTTTTAGGTCGTGGGGTAAGACCTCCAGGATACCACACTAGAAAAGGTAATATTATCATAGTTAACTGCTATTCATGATATAATCAAATATTATTATTGATAGAGTAAACATACATCAACACAGCCATAGTTTTGTTTATTAGGTTTTGGATTTCTGTGGCATAGACAAAAATGTGGCATATACACCCTTCTCATAATGGCTGAAAAGGGCACGAAAACGAGGTCACCCAGTCATTAGTTCACAATACCAGATATAAAAGTATATTAAATGAGTTTATAAGAGAAAAGTATAAAAATTTAACTCTTGTTTTGACCTGTATTCCCACTATCCACCTTAATTTTGAATGAGCAGCCTTGCTCAGCCTTGCAAGATGACTGGGTGACCTCGTTTTTGTGTGCTCGTCAGCCATTATGAGAAGGGTGTATAGACCACTGAGTCCAGAGAGGAATTGTTCTGGAGGACAAAACAATTGTTTTTTGCAAGAGAAAAGACGAGTATTGTTTTGTCCCCCAGAACAATTCCTCTTGGAAATCAATGCAAGAGGTATATAGAGTATCACTCCCCTCTCCCCTCCCCTAGACAAATTCCACTTACAAACTCCCTTTCACATGGGGCATTTTGTCATTTGTACAGCATGTACCATCAGCAATGCCCAAGTTAGTTTTGCAAGATATTCTTGAACAAAGTTTGAAATGATAACATTTACACATGAAGCTGGAAAAAAGCCTTATAAAAGTGCAAAATTGACAAAAGCATAGTTAATTGAGGAGACTACAGTCCCCTCAATTAACTGTGACAAAAGTTTACCATTTATTAATTATACATTTTTATAGTTTGGTTTATTGTCCAGCTTTGTACTTTTTGATTAAGATCTTTTTGAAGTGTTTTACTGCGATTTTCATAAACACGTAAACTCTGTGTCTGCAAGCTGCATGCTGAAATTTGTTTTTTTTTGCTGCTGCCAGTCAAAAATATGAAAAGTACTGATTGATTAGGTTTGATTGACTGCAGTGAAAAACCAAATTTCAGTGTGCAGCTTGCAGACAGAGAGAGCGCATGTTTATGAAAATTGCAGTAAATGGTTAGGTTTCCTGTTTTGGTTCAGGTGGATACAAGATAGTAGAGAAAAAAGTTCCAGAATTTATTGTTCCTGATTTGACTGGATTTGAGGTATGACACTTCAAAGTATATTGTATGTTTTGCACGAGACATTGTTGGCCAATGGTCAAACTATTGAAATATCAAGTCTTTTCTGGTGCACTGCTACATTACTCTTAAAGAAAGTTCTGGGGTACCTCTCAAGCCTAGACTGGCATTCAGGGGCAGTGTTTTTTATTGCAGGGGTGGTATAGGTGAGAAAATGGGGTCTTTCATATTTTAGTGACCCTCCAAAGTAGGGTCTTGAAATAGTTTAAAATGACTAACAGCTAATTGTTGGGACTGAGGTGGTGTGTCGAATACAATAAGTGTCTGAATGAGAAAGAACCTAAGATACTGTGTAAAAAAGTGTGTAACTATATAGCCTGCGTGAAGCCGGCCTCTAACTGACTGTTAAGTCCGTCTATAGGAGAGAAAAGTCTGGCTGCATGCAGGCTAGTAACTATACTGATGTTACAGACATCAGTCCTTTGTAGTGGGACATTTCCTTGTTATTCAATTCTTGAAATAATTGATGAGTTATATATAAAGGATGGTTTTCGAAATGATAAAATGAACAGGGAATCTCAGAAAAAAATTGGGATTACTAATGGAGGGTTGGAGAAAGACAAAGTATTTTTCCTATTTTCTCACCAATATCTACCCTCTAGGATTAATAATGAATGGTCCCTAACAGCCTTATTCCTGAGTTCTCATTGTGTTCAATTCTGTCATTCCAGTTAAAGCCCTATGTTTCCTACAAGGCACCAAAAGTTGAAGAACCTCCCATGACAGCTGAAAGGCTTTTAGAGATGGTTAAGGAAAATATTCACTTAGTTAAGTTCAGAGAGACACCATAGGCTCAGGCAGCAAGGCTTGTTGATTATGTATATATTTTTAAAAAATTAATATTTTCACGAGAGTTACAATCACAATTCATATAAGAATCTCGCAGATAGTGTAGGGTTCTTCTAGGCGTACGTTTTTTTAGCAAAAAGGTCGAGCCTTCTCTTCCATTTGGCCTCTTCCTCTTGGCCCATTTAAAGACCTCTATCACTCACAGCCATATTAAATAGAAAAATAGATAGTTCCCCCGTGTAGCATCGCATTCAAACTTTTCAGGACGAGGTTACGTGTAGTTAAACAAAGGCTTTTATATTATGAGAATCAACATAGCTCCTTGTGATCAAGGTTCATATGTAAAATAAGCTGCTTGCAGACGTCTTTTACTGCCTTCTGTTTTCTAGGGGAAGAAAAATATCCTTAGCGAGCAGGGTTATACGATATATTGTATAGTAGATAGAAGTGTACGCCAATCAGAATGTAACATTCGTGGCAAATACCTTTGCGTCACATACAGTCAAGGTGATGACGTCATAGGAAGCGGCATCCGAGTAAAAGACTCAAGATACTTGATTATTATAATCAAAATAAAGCGATAGTACCTACTTGCTGACATCAACCACCGGAAATAAGCCTTAATGTTTTAGCTCATCAGCATCGACAAAAAAAAAAAAAAAAAACTGTTAAAAGAAGAAATGGAGCTGGGCAATGGTTTTTGGCACGAAAATTTCGTGACAGCTACATGTCGAAAAAATTCGCGAGAAATTGAAGTGCTGGGGAAAAAACCGTCTCTGCGAATAATAACGCGAAAATGAAATAACGCCCAAATTTATGCACTTTACGAAATTCACGTAACTGCTCTATAGTCCTTTATCACACGGCGGCCATGAGAATAAAAATCTTTGTTAAACCCAAGTAAATTTATTTTCAAGCACTTGAATGCGAAGCTACGCGTGGTGGAATCTATTGTTCAAACCAACATGGCTGCCGCCTGGAAAAGACCCCAAGGCTACCACTACCAACATTTTCTTCAAAATTATTTTATTTTCAAGGGAGTCGCAAGATAATAATGAATAATCCTTTGACAGTTCCTTTCAGTGACCATGAACAATACTTTCAACTCGAGGTTGGAATTGCCGCGCATGACTTACTGTAATACCGCGGTTGGGATAAAATGTTCATCAATCTCAAAAGTGTCAGTAGATATAGTGCTAAATATTCTATTAGTAGTGAACTGACAAGCATGGAATTTTGATATTAGAAACGTCGTATAGGATACATTATTTTTTCGTACCAAAAAGTGTATTTGGTGATGAACGTGTGCCGTTGAACCGTATATAAAGTACGACTAAAGCCTCGCAGCCTCCGAAGAAAACTTGCAAACGTCATGACGTCAAGCAATACGCATTTTGTCTTCATAAATTATTCAAGCTAACGGATCGACGACAGCAATTTTTGGTACAAAAATCGGCACGAGACCAACTTAGAAGTGATGGATTTGAGTTTCGCTGCTTGTCTTAATGCGCATCAAACTTTGACAGGAACGTACCGTAACAAGGATGAGGACACAAAAACATCCCCCAAGAAATCCTCTGTATTTGAAAGTAGTCACTCGACAATTGTTAAAAGAGCGATCAGTGACGGTGTAAGTACTACTTTTCATTCGAATTCTTTTACTGAATGAGACAATTGATAGGCAAATTTAAGTGATTAGAATATCTACTTTTTTTCTAGAAAAGGATGATGTATCGATTATCGATACATCTGTATCGATGGCATGTTGCGTTTTTCTGCTGTTGTTTTCTTAGCATTTCGATTCATAGTTACTTCTTTAAAACAGAATTTATGGAATAGAGGACAATGCGATCATATTTAAACACAAACTAAAATTGAAGTTCGGAATAGAGAGGAATAAATCGATTGATTGAAACAGTACACTAAGAATAAATTTAATATACTCAATAATTCAATCAGTAGTTAAATCCCTCGCTTGTAGTTGCGGGGTCTGGGCTGTGCCAACGACATCGGATTGTTACATTTCAATAGACCATTTTTGAGTTCCAAATAGACCTTTTTACAGATAAGGCGGCCATTTTGATTTATGGGATGACGATGGAGCAAACACGTAGAAAATGTATAAAGCATAGAGTGGCGGTGTGTTACGTTTTCAAATTATTTTTTGCTCCTGAATCCGGGGTTAAACTCCGAATTGGACTTCACTTAAATTTTATATATCAGGCACTGAGGCACGACCACAGAACCACGCGCAGCGTTTAGAGGCAACGGCGCAACCCGTCCCCACTAAAGAGCACCATTATTATTATGTCAGTGCTGACTTGTCGCTGGCTAACTTAGAAACGTAACACAGGCCGCCCATACTTTGGTTTTGCCTAACATGGGAAAGCGCTGACGTTGCTCAGCTAGGTTGCAATGGATCAGCATCCCAGTAGGAAAGAGTAGTTGCTTTACGAGACAAATTAAATTAATTCATTCATTAAAATAAAAAGATATATTCGATTAATTCAATTTAAAATAAAAAATCTCTCCCCTTCCCACTATCTGTCACTCTGTAATTTTAGTAAACTACGTGCAATATGAAATAAACAAGTAAACAAAACGAAACGAAACAAGCCCAACCCAACCCACAAACAAACAGATGGGAGGACACACACGCAAAGGTTTTTTTTTTGATAGGCGTCGTCAAGAGAATATGTCGGATTTTGAAGACATTTTTCTCGTCGGAAACCCAATATTTTTAGCTCGCATTGAAGTCACTACAACTCTGACCAATCAGGAATCGCATGCTAAAAATAGCTCAGACTGCGCGCGGAGCTAAATGAATAGATTTTCGAAAAACTTTCATGGTTAGAGATCCATGTAAAGATTTTCAAAAAACTTTCATGTTTAGAGACCCATGTTGTGGGAGATGTGCTCTCATATTCTCTTGACGTCATGTGGCCCTCTAGCCATTTTACGTGGTTATCCAAGCCACGGCTAAAGTAGGCATTTTCTTTTTCTTTTTTTTTTCCGGTAAAATGTGGCTGACGACAAGCCAACTCAAACGTGTGCGGCATGGGCAAACTTCAATCACGTAACTCTAAATCTAGTTTCACATATTAGTAGTGTTGTGTTAATCACATAATTATAAAATCCCAATGAATGTAGGCCATTGATATTAGACTATAGGAATAACAGGCTAATGTGCTCTCACTTCTTTCATGTTTAGAGACCCATCTGTGGGAGATGTGCTCTCATATTCTCTTGACGTCATGTGGCCCTCTGGCCATTTTACGTGGTTATCCAAGCCACGGCTAAGGTCTAACATAGAGATATTTTTAAATCAAAGGCAGCACCTTCTGCGGGCTGGTCCAGCTACTTTCGAGATTTGAACCGGCCACGATTTCACGCACAATCCGATCCAGCCAACCAATTATTCAATGCATGCATTCCTGTACATGTCATCCTCTTGAAAATAAGGTTCTTTGTTTGAGCCTTTTATGAGTTGTATTCATATAAATGTATGTCTTTTCGTGAGCAGCTGTCAAATAAAGGAATGACGTGCGTTTAAGATGGCAAACCTGTAAGACGCCCCATGAAATAAGGTTCTTTGTTTGAGCATTTGAGTAGCATCCATATTCATGTGTTATCTCGTGTGCAGCCGTTAAACGAAAAAGTCATATTATACCAATAGGGAATAACCCCATGTGTTCTGAAATGGAAAACCAGAAAGACTCCCTATCTAAAGACCATGAATACATTGGGGTCCTATCAATCACTCATACTATTTTCTACTGAAGGAAGGTCTTCCGTGAGGAGAGAATATTGACCCATGGACCTGCCCTTTGGCAACCCGCCACCAACGAACTTTTCACTCACCCGGAAAGAAACGGCCAGGCTCAAGTTTTTAGTTAGATCCATCATGTTTTCAATTTCCCCGTGGTTTACTGACTTCAACAATTTTCTAATTCTTACTTAAAGAAAACGTTTTAAAACGCGTCATGCTACACCGTGTAGGCTGAGAAGAAGAAGAAAAAACAACAAACAAACAAATAGCACAACGTACAGAAAAATAGAGAATACATGAATAACGTAGAACGAGACAAGTCTCTGCCTGAATTTTCAGTTTTACGTGTTCAGTCTCTGACTTTAAATACTTGCATATAGACGTTTCGATATTCGTGCTATCAATTTCATTTTGGGTTTAAAAACTTTAAGCATGTTGAAATTGTTAACAAAAACAGTCCTAGACAAACAAACAGTGGAGGTATAGTGTATACCGATTCTGCCTTGGGTGTTTAGGTGTTATGCAATCCGACTCTTCCCGTGAAAGTAAAGCAACGAAAACGGGTAACCACCTTGTCGATTGACTGACACGGAAGCCCAATTTCATATCTAACCATCTTTCCCAAAGGAAACGTTTGAAAAACCTCTGATTAAAAGTGTTAGTACAAAACGTGTCGTTATTGTTTTATTCATTTCCTTTCTTTTCCTCCATTGATACCACTTTAAACGTGACTTCGGTCTTCTTCCTGCACTTGTCATGGCGTGTGAATCGGTTATTCCCGTTGTTCAGTGATTCTTCCGGGCGTACTTATTCAACACGCAAGAGTTCAACTGTGAGTCGGCGCCGGAGGGGAAAAGACTCTAACATGTGTACTGAGCACTGGGAGCGACCGTTTTTAATTATCATTTGTTAACTATGACAAAGGCGCTCATCAATTCGATGCCTTCTTAATCCAAAACGTGCCTGTGAATATTCACTCTGCGTTGGCCTGTTATGCCTATAGTCTAATATCAATGGCCGGCCTACATTCATTGAACTAAAATGGATCTTATAATCATGTGATTAACACAACACTAACTACTAAGATATGAAACTAGATTTAGAGTTACGTGATTGAAGTTTGCCCATGGCGCACACGTTTGAGTTGGCTTGTCGTGCCACAATTAACCGGAAAAAAAAAAAACCTACTTTAACCATCGATAAGCTGTATATGGTCATTGTGATATATTAGATGTAACACGTTTTTGAAAGTAAAAGACGTAGATTGTTAAGTGTATTTAAAGCTACCAATGTTCCCCAACGGCATAAAAAGAAGTAGTCTACACTAGTGGTCAACGTTGAGCGTTCGACCCTGTAACCCGTTCATTCGCAAACGTAGATATAAATTCAAAGTTTGAGATTAAACATATAGACTAGAATACGGTTTTATCGGTATAGTGTATGCACTACTTTGCAGTGTTGCGAACAGGATTGAACTGGTCGGTGATTGATAAGCTAATGTGCTTTACGTTAGTAACGTCATAACTACTACTGATGACGATGGCATCGGTTTTTTTCTTTTGTCAAACAATTTTTTTTACAGAGCTACACTGACCCAAAACAGCTTTCGTGAAATTTTTTTCTCCTCATTATTCAAGAAAAAGTCTGTGTGTTTTTTTATCAAAATTAATCATGGCATTTATTGTCAAAGCACTTTGTGGAAAACAAAGACTCTCGTTTAAACAGATCACCTGATTGGCTGGAAACTGTTCGAGCGTCATTGCTGTGACGTAAGTAGATGTGACCGGGGTTTTTAACGATGTCAGATCCGTTGTTTCTACGCATTCACTATCGTCCCATCAATATTGTAATTTTACCAGCACGTTGCTCAATGCTACACAGACTCCGATTAATGTGGAATAGCTGCTTTTTCTGTACATATACACAACCTTTTACTGTATACTTCTGAGAGAAATAGTCAAACATGGTGCAGGATCATTTGGCCCAGTTTTTGAGTCCATATAGTAACCATGGAAAGGCAAGCGCGCCAGTTATTTGTCGGTAGGTGAAGTTCTTGAATCTTCCAGTTTATTTCATCACTGCATACGTATCAATTTATCGTTCTTCTTCATGCATTTTAGTTTTAAAATTATAGATATRTTACTCGTAGTTATAGTTTATCCATGGCTGAACTTTCTTGTTATATTCAACCACAGTTAGGCTGCGTTCATAATGTATGGCAGAGGGGGGGGCAGGTGAAAATTTGAAATGTCCAGAATAATTCTTAACACCTCCGTTAAAGTCATACAAAAAAATACGATCCCTCCGAAGCAAGGCTTGTAGCTTCTTCAACAATTGTGCATTCCCCCAATTTTCTGATAAAGATTTGCCCATCCCCTCCTTTTTCCTACCAAAATTTTCCCGATCCCCCCTCAATTTCACCTGCCCCCCCCCCTGCCATACATTGAACGCAGCCTTATTATTATCTATTAACTACGATTGTTCACGTTGAATGAACGCTAGGCTGACAGAATCGGCAGGTTAGGGTTCAGTATGTTGAAAATCAGTGTTATCCAGTTCTTGCATCATTAGTAGCGTGCATCTAACGTTGACTACACTTTTACTAAGTTCTTAGATCATATAATAATTCAAATTGACATGTATTAATTTTGTCACACAATCTGATTTGTTTGGTTTGATGTCACGCTTAACTGGACCATAAAGACCTTGGCCTATTACTTTGTAATATCTTAACATAATGTATTAGGCACAAGGCACATACTAGTAGGATAGCGTTTTATATTATTTTGGTGTAAAGAAGACGCGTTACATATTACTATTATCCTTTCATCTACTACAGCTTCCGACTCTTACCGCGGAAATCTTCTCGATGCTTCTATCATCTCCCTTTAGCTTCCTTAAATTCCTTTCCTTATCATTCTTTCCTTAGTCTTTTTATACTTCATTCGTTTATTGAACCATTCCTCTATCCTCTCTTTCTGTTTGTCCACCTTTTGTCTGTCCATCTTCTTTTTTTTCTTCATTTTTCTGGGTTTTTCCCCCAGCAATTTTACGTATCGATTAAGAAATACTTACTGTTCAAACGTTGATGAGCTTCTCGAAATTCCTTTAAAAACATTAAGGCTGGCCTTAAATCCGTCCTTACATAATTTTGTAATGAGCGTTTTGACGAGCACAGATAGTCCGTATGTGATGTGTTTTTGGCTGCTATTCCTTTTACTTCAATTGTCTTCAAGGTCCAAGAACTTTCCGGATCTCGCCGAACGTGTTCCGGTGTTTTACGAGCACCTGTCGTCAACGATTCGGGATTCGTTCGTGATAATATGGCGTTCGTTTTTTGATTGCTATGATTCAATCACACGGTCCTTGATCGCACATATAGGTGCGTGACGTTTTTCTCAAAAAGGAGGAAAATAAAGAAATATGAGCGAAGGGAACAAGAAGCATACCCCAGAACTCTGTATTTTTCCTCCTGGTATAAAAGTTCTTTTTTTTTTTTAATATTCCTAAAACTTTTCTATTATATCGTATCGTATCTCGTTTTTTCCCGAAGTCATATATCACATCAACCTGGGGCCTCAGAAATAAACATTCGCAACACGAGATAAAAACCCTTGAACAATTCACGCTCTGTCTAGACTGTTTATAATGCATGATAACTAAAAATACAGTTTACTAACCATGCACCGCTGCATGTTCTTGTGGCGAGCTAAATCTGATATCCTAGTTCAAAAGTCAATTATTATCGACTGTTACGCAATGGTTGCTTAAAATAAACCATCGGATTCACGTGCTTCAGTTTGAAGTTCATAGATTGGCCCTTGAGCAGCGTCTGTATTTTTTTTTCCTCTTTCAAATATTTTGAAAGTGAAATTCGTACTGTAGGTTATTTCCAATTTTCCTCAAAGCTTGTGCCTTCCTCGTGGGGATTTATTTGAATCAAAAATGGACAAAATTCAACTACTAAAATTCTCCGAAACTATAAAGGATATCCCGATGGCAAGAATAGATTATAGAGTAAAAAGGTCGAGGTTGTTTTTGCACACATCGGATGAAAGGTAAAGTCAATGATAAATAATGATACTATTTATTATCGAATGTAATCAAATTTGCGGTTAGAAAACAGCACTAAATGCCACTCTATAAGGTTGTGCAGTAACTAGTACATGTTGTACTCGCTGTATATCGTAGATTGTTGCAATCGGCGGCTGATCAGCGTCGAAGGTCCCTTCGGAGTATACGAGCAAAACTCGTGAACTTTGGAGTTGAATTTGACATTCAGCTTTTTTTTCTAGTAGCTATTATTTCGTCCAGCTACGATGAGGTCGGGATCTCCGAAGTCTCCGACGTTCGACGTTTGTTTGTCATAAGTTTACAAAGGAAAATAGGAGGCATACTTAAGAACACTGCTTGATTAGATAACTTAATGACTAGAAATTACAAAGAAAAAGTTAAAAAAAAAGAAAGAAATATTAAGAAATAGAAAAGGTAGGAAATGAAGAAAGAAAAAGGAAGCGGAATAAAAACTTAGGTGCATGGAAAAAGTTCGATCTATAGGTGCTTGTTGCTTCTCGTGCAAGATTAATTATAGTACGAAAATACATCCATCCCAAATACGGCTTTGTTGCTTGTGGGAACTACGACCGGAAAGCCGGACCTAAAGAAAATAAACCGATACAACTCAGCCCTAGAATAACGAAGATAATCTATTATTTATGTCGCCTAGGCAAGCTGTTTGGGACGTGGGTGACGTCAGGTTGTTTTTCGCTGTAAGCGAAGGAGATACAAAGAGATGGCTTCGACGGTGCATCACTTAAAGTGGCATCGCATGACTCTAGCCTGCAATCTGAGCAAAACAATTTAAATGTAAACAACATGGACAACGGACAATGACTCCTTTCGCGTTCGGTCGACTTCAAACGAGGGCAGCTGTGAGCCAGTGTGTATGATCGCTGTTCCAGTGTCACCCAGTGCTTTTAGCTAGCTTACTATCCAAACTAAATGTCATCATCTTATAAAAATTCGTAACTTCACAAAAGTGTTTAAAACATCTCCTGCAACCGTAAGTTGAACTGTTTAGGAAATAGTTTTCTCGGATAGAATTGCTATTTAGTAGTAGTTCACTCAGTCCAATGATTTTTGCCTGCCGGCAATACAGGTCATGAAAGAATCTGCACCTTTTTATGTCATTTCAAGTATATTTGGTATTTATGTAACGTTGTTTATTTCCTTGTCGACTTAACGTTTTCCGGATCGATGGTCGCTTCGCTGTGACATCACTTGACACTTAGCTTCAACGAAAGAAGTCCATATATATAGATACTCTAGTCAAGAAGTTTCCCTTTGCTCAAAAATTTACGCTGTGAATTTAGGAAGAATAAGTATCATAAGGTAGGTAAAATGAGATAGAAATGAATTAAAAAAAAAAAAAAAAAAAAAAAAAAAAAAAAAAAAAAAAAAAAAAAAAAAAAAAAAAGTGAGAATGAAATGAACGCATCACTTTAGAACCGCACCAATTTAATGATTGACAAAATTTTTTGACTGCCATTAATAAGTTAAACTTCGAGTTACTCCTACTTCGAAATGTGCGTCCTCTCCTCTTGTTTACTTGTAATTAAAGGAGAACATCTACCTACGATTGCAGAAAAATATTTATAATTTTCGGATTGTAGTGGGCACACGAAGATCCAGAAATAGATAGAGCCTGCCATTAATAGAACACTACCTTATAGACCTATATTCCTCCTTAGGATTTCGCAACTTATACTGCGACTCTTATAGATTGTAATTACTTGCTTGCAAGTATTATGAGCTTTGCTTTCCCGAGATAGCTATTGAGCCAGAAATCCGCCAAATCTGTCTTTGTTCTTTATAATAGCTATCACGTCAATGGGTTCTCAAAAGCGATGACCCATCCGTCACCAATAGCAACGTTACGCTCTCGCGGCGACCATTACGCACGATGACGTCACTAAAGTATTTCATATGTAAAGCACGCGTTTACGTTTTACTGTGGGTGAAATGTCAGGTGAATAACTAGTTTCTCTTTCAGACGATTTTATACTTAGAGCTTTCTTCATCTTATTTTAGCCCGTTTGTAACTAATGTGGCGATGGGAATGGCAAGTGACCGTAACAAGACCATACGAGTTGGATTCTATGATATCGAGAAGACCATTGGCAAAGGAAACTTCTCAGTGGTTAAGCTCGCCAAACATCGAATTACAAAGAGCAAGGTAAGAGAAAGAAGGCCTTGTATTGATAATAAGGAATGATTGCGATCTTCTGAATTTTAAATCACATATGAGCTTGCAATGTTCGCTGTTCAATTGCACTTCTATTTACTAATTCAATACTATTTTCTTCTTAAAGGTTGCCATCAAAATTATCGATAAAACCCAGCTAGACGAAACGAATCTGAAAAAAGTGTATCGCGAAATAAATATCATGAAACTTCTACAACATCCTTATATTGTTAAATTATATCAGGTAAAGATTGAACTGTTTAAAACTTGCAATAACGTCAAACATTGAAGTATAGATCTATCTAATGCTTGCTATGAAACTCGGCCAGTGCCTTTTTGTTTCTGTCTAAGCAAAGACCGAGGAAAGCAGACCGAGTACGTGCTTAGGGAGTCTACCTCTGATGGGATTACCTAGTGTTTATCATTTAGATTTGCAGCACCAAAATGTTTAGTTTAATGTCTGATATAGTTTATGGCTCTTTCTTTATTGATAGGTTATGGAGACCAAGAATATGCTTTATCTAGTCACAGAATATGCAAGCAATGGCGAAATGTTTGGTAAGTTATAACATCAGTCTCTGGTGCAACACTCTCAAACTAAGACATATATTTGTTTGGATCGAAGTCATTCTTGATATTCCAAGGTTCGATCTATTCGCAGTCTACTACCTAACCACTCCAAAAAATAATACTAAGAAAGGTTTCCCGTTTGAGCGCTGAACAAATTTGCAAGCATTACCAATATCAATATCATTAAGCTTAAATAATTTTATAGTCCTTGGTAAATTTGCCAAATTGAAACGATAAATGTATCAATTTTTATCTCAAATACCACAAAAAATATTCAGTCAGCATACGAGGAATACTTCCAATGTTCTAAGTCTCAGGTTAAACAAGATTGACGGCGCGATTTATCATTCTTTTGTTATGAAGGCTGTAGAACATTCGACAACCTACTGGAGTAGAGTGTACGATAGCTTGGAGCTTGCGAAACTGTAATGATCTCACTATTCAAGTGAGCAATCTCCACAATAAGTATTAGGATATGAATTGTATTTTTAGATCTCAGATCTAAGATATTGTAATAGATTCCAGTTGCCTGAATCATCAAGAAATCTAATGAAAAAGCCTTCGTTTGGCCATTGTTTTTTATTTCTATGTGCTAAATCAATTGCATTGAATAAGTACAATGCGATCCATTCGGACTTATCGATTCCCTTGAAAAAAAACCGAAAATGTTTTGTGTGATTGTACGCATGGGATGGATCTAGAATTATGTAATAAAGAAGAAGGATCTAGTAAAAGGAATCTTTTGCTGCCGAAAAGTAAATGCTTTAAGCGAAGATCTAGAATCTAATTGAAGTCCCTTCTAGAGCCAATAGACTTGAAGATATCAAATGTCGATTGGAATTACGTAAACAGGTTGAAATAACAGGAAATTCATGGCCAATTTTGTTTTTCTGTTTAAAGAACAATCCTCTACTGTTCATTTGCACACGTTTATGTATGATAATTATTGCCAAGGGTAACTCGATATTTTTTAAGGAAAAAAATGAAGTCTGAAACACTTCCAATCTTGAAATAATGGATGAATTTTGTCTAAATTTTCCCTTTTTTATGTCTGAAAATTTTACTAACTACTCATCCATTTTATCTCAATGATCCTAATGAATTTCAATTTGGTGTATTGGTTGCAATTAAATTTGAATACATTTTAAATTAATGTGGAACTTGAAATTTATATTMGTTCATATTTTTTTATTATTTGGTATTTCCAGACTATCTTGCACACCATGGTAGACTATCAGAAAAGGAGGCAAAAAAGAAATTCGTTCAGATACTGAGTGCTGTAGAATATTGTCATAAAAGACATGTAGTGCATAGAGACTTAAAGGTAAGTTATACAACAGCCGATGAAAAATGATGCCTATTATGATATAATTTTATAAAAAATCCCATTTCATTATTTTGTTCAAATGTGCTCCAGACTGACAATTAGAACAATTTGTATGCACAACAGCTTACTAATTTGGTAATTTTTATATTTCTAGGCTGAAAATCTTCTCCTTGATCAAAATATGAATATTAAGATCGCAGGTAAGAAAGAAAACAACATTATGTATAGGTTAGAGTGATTAGCATCAAAATATTGACATCTTTATGTTGTGTTGTTTGGTATGACACCTATAGTGAACGAAAAAATTCAAAGCTACATGAAACTTAAATTTAAAGAAATATTCTTACATAATATTTCTAGAGTGTTTGGCTTTAATGGTGTTATATTTCATTAAATTTTAGGCTTTCTTTATTTGATTTTGAAGTCAACTAAGATATGTGACTAAGTATAGTTTTTCTATGATAATTCTACTTTTTCAAGATTTAAAAAAAATCATTTTTGTCATATTTCATTATTTCCCATAGATTTTGGATTTGGAAATTATTATAAACCTGGTAATTCCTTGAACACTTGGTGTGGAAGTCCGCCTTATGCAGCACCTGAAGTTTTTGAAGGAAAGATATACGATGGACCCCAACTTGATATTTGGGTAAGCATTATTAAACCTCACTTTCAAGATGATGCATGTATTCATCCTGCGCAATACCTGTTTGTTTTAATAAATATAATTGATCTATTCACTTCACCCATACTTGTGTGTTATTACTGATAGATGCTGGACAATTATTTCAAGCTGGTGGCTGTTATACTGAGTAGGGCAGCATGTAGTAGTACCGCTCATAGTTTTACCAGGGTGGATGGGAAGGCTGGGGGTGTTACTAGCCACCCAATTTACCCCATAATCAACTCTTGTGTGCATGCAGTCATATAAATATTTATGATATGGTATTCTTTTCTTACAGAGTCTTGGCGTAGTGCTATATGTCCTCGTTTGTGGAGCTCTTCCCTTTGATGGATCGACGTTGCAAACTCTGAGAGATCGAGTCCTAGAGGGGAAGTTTAGGATTCCATTTTTCATGTCTACAGGTTAGCCTTACTTAGCCATTAAATCATTAAAAAAATTATGTAGTTATACAACCAGCAACAAACAAATGAACAAACAAACAAATAACAACTTGACATTTACAGTAGCTATATTGCTTACATTATTAGATGAATTTTTTTTCCCCCTCATTATTATTCAAGTAATGCTTATAAAATTAAAAAAAATTTTTTTTTGCATTTAGAGTGTGAACATCTTATTCGTCATATGTTGGTAAAAGATCCTCACCAGAGATATACCTTAGATCAAATAAAAAAACATAAGTGGCTGCAAAATGTGGAAATTCCTGCCTCGGGAAAACCATCTCTGTCAATCAATACCTTTGTTGAGGAGAATACCAAGGATTCGGACAAGAAATCAAGAGAAGAGTACAATGAACAAGCTGTTAGTCTTATGCAAGGTTTAGGGATTGACATCGAGAGAACTAAAATGGTAAGGACTATTTTTGTTTCACATTTATCACATTTTGTAGATAGTTATAATATATGGTGGTGTTGATAATTATGCTGTTGATGATGATAAAGATGATGATGTTGCATGATAGCAACTATGGTGATGCTGCTGCTTACGATGATGAAGGTTATGCTCATAAAGATCATGATGATGATGCAATTTAGTGATGCTGGTGGTGTGCTGCTAATTGTGACAAAGTTGATGGTGATGATGATGTTGATGACAAAGATACTGATGATACTTTTGCATGATAGTGATGATGGTGGTGGTGGTGATGATGCTGTGGCCAATATTGATAAAGATCATGATGATGATGCTGATGATAAAGATGGTGGTAATGATGATGACGTTGACATATTGCAATTAAGCTTATATACATTAGATTTTGCATCTATGTCCATCCAATTCTCATTTTTACTTCTTATTTTTCCAGGCACTGGCTGACAACGCATACGATCATCACACAGCAATATATTATTTACTAGTTGATAGACTAAAACACCACAGATCAAGTTATCCACTCCAACAAGAAGTCGAAACAAAACTACGGCGTCCGAGTGGAATCGCTGAAGCTGCGGTTGTGCGAGCCCATTTAGACATCGAAAATACAGAAAAGAGACCTATCCAGAGAGTTTGCACTGTTCAGCCTAGCAGGCCTTACATGCAACTCCAATATGCTATTAATGAACTTCACGAGAGAATTCCAACTCCGCCTGAAATAAGGCGAGAAATCGCAAATGAATGTGTGCGGGAAATGTCTCCTGTTCGAGAAATGGGACCACCACGGTCAGTCTCTCCTCGAAATATAATTGGGCCACTGTCAATAGATAGCAGTATCCCCAGAAAGGATTTTGAATTGCAAAGAATGGAAAGTGATGAGGATGAAGAGGATATTGAAGTCAAATCTGCATTAGCTTCCAGGACAGTTGAAGTGGAGAAACCTAAAGTTCGTCGACACACGGTGCACGCGGCACCTAAGGGACGATTGGAAGCTCCCGCGGGTCACCCGCTTTTGAGGAGTCAGGCTTCAACGGGTGGTATTCCACCGGGTGCGTCTGCTTTCACTCTGAATCCTGCCTTTGCCGTTTCTACTTGCTCAGTTCGTAGTACGGGGATCCCAACGTCTAGTCAATCGACTGGTTCAGGACCTCATCTACATCTACACAGACATGACACTCCGACGCATTATCATCATCAGCATCCATCGCTTACGAGAAGAGCCTCAGATGGCAATGCAGTCATTCCTGTTTTCCAACAACACATGCGAGAGAATAAAACACTCAAACGAATTCGACAATTACAACAAGAACATTTGAGGCTACAAGAACAATATCAAAAATCGTTATCTCCCTTAGAACTAAGTGAACAACAAGCTTTACATGCGGATTACAAGCAACGATATAATCAAATGAGGAAAGAACTCCAGAGACAATATGAACAATTAATGTCCGATAATGAACAGCATGATGCACAAGAATCGATGGAACAAAGTCAAGCGGTACCCGAAATTGCCATAAATGATCAAAATCCAGCCCCACCCTACCCCACAGACCAACAATCGTTACCACATTATAATCCACTCCTCCATCAGTTTCAACAATTACAAATTGACAATAACATTCGAGTTATCAACTCTTTACGAAAAATGCCTTATTTAAAACAGAATCCCCACAAGCAAGTTTGTAGGACGTCATCTTATAAGAAGGCACAAATGTGTACGCTGCTGCCGCCGTTCGAGCGTGAAATTTCCGGTTTCAACGAACTCGAAAACAACGAAACTTCGACGACGGAATGTGACATGAACTCGAACACAACACAACAGTCTAACTCAGTCGCAGCTCATTGAAATGACAAGAAATCAAATCGACATTCTTAATAGATCGATCTTGAAAAATAGGAATAATACAAGCTTGTAACGTGCTTCAGATCTACAAAACAAATTCACCATGTATTATTCAAGATACCAAAGAAAATAAAATATAATTAAGCTTAAAGTGGTGTAAAGAATTCATCAATGATTTAAGGCAGTCTTAATTTCCCAAAAACAAATGAAAAAGGCTCGTTAGTTCATAGTCGACATAAACCGTTAATTCCTTCAATATTTTTGTCAATTAAGTTAATTAAGATAAAGCTTTTTTCCCCGCGATCGTCTTCATTTTACCAGGAACTATCAGCCCTTTTATTTTCATTTTTTATTTATTTTTGATTTAACGGCTTAGCACAGGCCGGGGACAGACACGAAATCCAAACAAGCTCGGCCTTGACTTACGTAAAACTCAATCATATTAAGTAGACATAGCTAATGTTTATTTTTATTCGAAATCTGAAAATAGATCAAATTGACGTCCAATCGAAGTTCAATTTCGGATCTTATAAGTGGTTGGAGAACGGCAGTCGGCAGTAATATTTGCATAAATAATTTGTGGAGATAACTTTTTTTTTTTGCAACTGAGTTTCAAGCTAATGACTTTATATAGCTTATGGATTACAAACTCACCTTTATATATATGTTAAACCCCGTTGTATGTGGGCTAAATATTAGGCTTTTATGTAATCAGTTTGCAGTAGATCTTTTGCAGTTGTAGTCCTTACAAGGAGAAACCCCGCGCTTCGATAGAGTCGTCATGACAACCGTTTTCCAATTCGATAGCCAATCAAGAAATTGTGTTTTCTTCTTTTAAACATGTAATCCTTGCCTGTTGGAAAGCAAATACCTGATGTATCCATATTTTCACAGCAGAAACGGAAAAGTCCTGAAAATTATTTTTCATTTAAAAGTATAAATGTTCGGAAAGAAAAATTGGGCCTCCTTAAAGGACAACTGACCCCAAAAATTGCCGTTTTTCATATAAAACTACAACGTACATAGATCACATAAATTCAACTTTGAACTCTGATACAGCTTCTATGTCGCCGAAAAGAAATAATCAATTC